TGCGCAAAGCTGGCTGCGAACACAGGATGTTCGGTCTTGCTTGTAGTGATACTGACATCTAGGGCAGGTGTTTCAAGGTTGGTGTTCAGCACGTTTCATGGTTTTTGTTTTCCGTCCTTTGGGTTTGAGTGCATCGTCTGCGATGCCATCCGTTTTGGAGTGCACTGGAAAACTCGATGGCATTTTGGCATTGCAGCACTTCTTGACGCTCGGTGATTCAGATGCGGCCGACGGGCGTCTTTTCGAAGCTCAAGATTTGGACAACGCAGGGTTCTGCGGACAATTTGAGAGGGCTTGGGCAAGCGGGCGTTTGGCACGCTCTAATTCTCTAACCATTTCTGAGCTCTTTCGTGTTCGGGGCTTTGGAATTCGAGGGAAAATTGAGAGTAACCAACAACAGAGTGTTGGAGGCAGGTGCAAAATGGAATTGGCAACATCTGCGTACATTAAGATCAAGATGCCGTCAATAACAGCAACCCATGCATTCCACAAAGTTTGTTTGCAACCCTTGGCATCCTTCGCCAGAAGCCGATATTTGCAAATCTACGCTGCCGAGGCTTGTCAGAGCGTGGCAAACGCCAGAATGCCAAAGAAAACAACCTCGAAATTCAAACATGCACCAAAATCACGACTGCAGAAGTGCATGTCGAAACTCAATGCGGCACGGCAGCCGGAATGCTGAGCCTGGGAAGCACAACTGAAGACGTGCTTGCACTTCAACGGTCACTATCTTCCAGGCGAGCAGCAGAAACGCCAGCGGCCTCCAGACTTCCCATAGGACCGGACCCATCTCTGCCATGTAGATGACCTCGGCAACAGCCAACGCCCATATTCTGCTGCACGTTCTCCACGAACAGCTGCAGGCCACTAGTCTCTTGGCAACTGGTGCGAAAACTGCTATTGCAGCCCACGTTCAGGTCGAACCTACAACACTATGGGAGAAGTCCACAAACTGCTGCACGGTCAAGCGGCCAAAACCAACATGATAAACCACCATACGCCGATTAGGATGACCTCTGGCTTTTGCACCTGCGATCCATGTGAGAAGCATGAAAACTGAAACCCTTGTCACAGGCGGGTTTGTGCTTTGTGATCATGACAGCAGACAGTACATGCATGCCAGCCTTATGAAGAAACACCTCCAGAAAGCCACGTCCTCAGGTGCACAACGATGATCGCGACAAACCACCGATTGGGGGGATTGAAGAATGCCATGTTCGAAACTCAACTTGTACAGCCACGACTGACTTCAGTCGAAGTGCTTCGTCGTTTCTTTTTCCTGCCACGGGCCAAACCATGACGGCTTTAACGGTAGTAAAGCGGCAGAACATGGCAAACAGGCTGCATGATTACATATGTTCACAACTCACCGAACGGTATGTGCCGCATGGTCTTTTCGTGAAGACAATAGGACCACACCTCGAAGCTTTGTACCAAGATATCGTTGCAGTATTCTTCAGGATACCATGTGCGGCATTGGGAGGCATGCATATGGGTACGCTGGCGAAAACACCCACTTTCGCATTGGACCGCAAAACTTCTGGGCCGGATACAGGCAATCTGGTTCTTGCTAGCTGTGTTTTTGTTTTGTGGTGTGCTTGTGTCATGCACAAGAACACATGAGTAATCTTTTCCTGCATTTCCGTTTCTGGTGCATCGTTTACAAATGACGAATGATGTCTCGGCAACTTGGTAACATATGCAAATACTCTTACTCAGCACTCGCTGTCTGCTACAGTTTTCCGGGAGACTTCAAAACCACTTATGCTGCAATGCCACGAGCACGCATGGTCGTACAACGTGACCAACAACTACAGAATCCCATCGTACCATGCCGAGCCTTGGCGGCAAGGGAGCTGGCATCTCTGGTGCCAGCTGGGGTGCCTGACCACAAGTTTTCGAACTCATGACAATTCAAAAGTGCTGCCGAAACAGCAGGCCTGCATGCTCTTTGAACAGCTTTCAATCTGCTTGTACGCAAACACACCCCCTACCTCTGAACCAGTCACTGCGGGGATTGCTCATCAGCTATAGAATCGGCCACAAAATCATCAAAACGAAGCAATTAGGTCACGACAACGTTCTATGTCGAGTCGGTACTGGAACAAAACCAAAACTTATGACTGTGACACCTCTTTCCATCTGCAGATCATTTCGCCTAAAATGATTAACCACTCAGCTTTGGCCTTGGTCACGATTTTGCTACATGTGTTGCACCTGCACAAAAAGCTTGGGTTTGACGATTCTTATATTTCAATGCCGAAACATGTTCACCAAGTTGCATTTGCTCATCCGGATGCGATCACGTTCAACAGCGGACCCAACGACGTTGATCAACCAACGCGATGATGGTTCAAAGTTGTTTGCAAAGACATCCAACAACCAACACCAACCAACTCACAATTTTGTCACAAAGCATGCTGGCACAGCCCACCGAAGCCTTGACGAGGCAAGCAATGCTTGCTTTTCAAAAATGCAAACTGGCCGTCAACAAGGAGAGACTTTCTTCGACACAGACGGCAACAAGAAGTTTTTGTGGGCAATTTGCACACTTCTTTCTGTCGGTAGCATAGAGCAATGCATGCTCAGGACCGCCCGTCAGCAGCCCGTCAACAGCAAAAAATACCAAACAGTTTGG